AATTAACATATATAATTTATATGAATAAAAATGTCAATTTCATAATTAATTTTTTAAAATATTAATTAAAAAATAAAATTTTAAACATGTCATCTAAAAAAATTTGAAATGATGCCATGTAAAACATTTCTTTTCAAATGTTATTAAAAAAAAAAAAGGAAAAGGAAGGAAAGCCATTATGGTATATTGGGTTTTAAAAATATAAAAGAGGGGAAGAGAATTGTTTGGACAAGCGAAGGACACAAGGTAAAAAATAAAATAGAAGGCTATTATATTCCCTCTAATTTTTTTAGAATCTAAATAAAATAATTATTTTCTTTTCTCACGTATCAAGTTCTTCTGCTTGATACATGTAGAGAAGCTTCCTCCTTTTAAGAAACGCGGGGATAATGAATTTCTAATCTGCAATTCTGCATCTTTGATCTGGCCAAGAAAACAAAGAAAAGTACTCATGTCTCCCTCATAATTTTGCTGCAGCTGCCCGATTTTTACCAGCTTCAATTCAATTCAATTCTTTTAGTGGAACTTCAACTCAATTTAATATACAGTCAATCGGCTTGTTCCCACCTTAGCCTTTTGTATGGCCTAATCAAAGACTAAAAAGATAAGAGAAAATAAAGCCCAACAATTATTTTTTAACATTTTATAACTAAATAAAGCCCAATAATTGAATGGGAATCTCAAATAATACAATAAGCTATAAGGATGTTGATTAATATATATTTTAATTTAATATATTATACAATATATTTATTAAAAAATTATTAATTTTTAATATAAAATTAAAAACAAAAAATTTAAAGATGTAATAACACATATAAAATGTAAAAATCAATTGAATTAAATTATATTTTTATTATATTTTAATAATTAAACAAAATAAATATTAAAAATATATTGAATCAAATATATACTAATTATTTTTCAAATTACTATAACCAAAGGCATTAGTGCTCTTATTGGTAAGGGGATTTCTTTCGGAATTTTTTTGAAACAGTAGGGAATCTGGGGAAGGGACATATGCCAGGGCATGCATTGCACTTCTCCAGCACGCCGTAAGTGCCATTGGTTGTATATTTGGTTCAACAACTACATGTACTTTCTAGGGAAGTACTATAAAGAAATAATTTATCTCGAATTCTTTTGTGTTTTAAATTTTTTTCATAGTAAAAGCAAATTTTTTTTTTTTCTGATAATAAGCAATTTTATTTATAGATGACAAGAGGTACTCAAATCCCGCTACAGTTTTCATCATACAGTAAATATCATTGGACATAGTTCCCATTTATCTCAAATTCTATGATAACTGAAATGCGATTTCATTATGGCCGGGGTGGGATTATATAGTTCATTGGAGGGCCGTTCCGTCATGTGGGCTAGTTTATTGTTCAGTGGGGCTTTACCCAACAACCCTTGTAGTCTTTATGAACCAACTAAGTATATTTTCTGAATGATTTTTTTTTTTAACAATGAAAAAAAGAATATATATATATATATATATATATAAATTGAGAGTACAAAAGCTATTCTAACTAATTACAACAATCTTAATTCTTTAGCTTAATCCATCAGTGTATATTTTCCGAATGAATTCACATTTCCTATTAAAACAATGTAATAAAGGGTGATTGATGTATACGTTGCAAAGAAAAAGGACAAGTGGGGACGGAGCTTTGGTTTCGTCCGATTCCTGGAGGTTAAGAATAGCAGAGACATGGAGTTTAAACTGAACCAGATCAAAGTGGGGCAGAGGACGATCCAAGAAAATGTGGCTAGATTCTCCAACGCTGAAGAACAGAAAAAATAGAAAAATCAGGCTGCTATCCAATCTGGTAAAAAGTCGATCACAGTATCTTACGCAGAAGCTGTCAAAAACGGCCCAAGAAACCATGAAGAATCAGATTGTAGAGAGCCAATGCATGTCATGGGAATAAAGAAACAGTGGCGTAAGAGCAAAGTGAATCAAGAGCAATGGCAGGGTCTAGAGGTGATGGCAGAGGAAGAAGATTTGAGATGGCTTCAAGACTGCTTCGTCGGCACAGTGAAAAGCCCAGAGACTATCAGCACTCTTCAAGACAAATTTCTCATGGAGGGTTATTTTTTTGCCAAAGTAACTCCGATGGGAGGAAGATTAGTCTTGCTGTCATCTGTTGATCATGAGGAGTTAAAAGATTTAGTTGATAATGGGAAGGATTGGTTGGCACAGTGGTTCTCCGATGTGAGACCGTGGAAGCCAACAGAAGTAGCTTTTGAAAGGTTTACTTGGCTAAGGTGCCAAGGTGTCCCTGTACACATTTGGAGAAGCAGTTTCTTTGAAACTGTGGCCCATTTATTCGAGAAATTCATATCACTAGACGATAGCACAATCAAAAAGAAGAGGTTGGATCTGGCAAAAATTCTTATATTGACCCCAGTCCAGGAAAACATTCAAAGGGTCTTAAGAGTCAAGGTGGGAAGGATTATCTTCCAAATTCATGTGAATGAGGAGATTGGAGTAGATAATTTGTTCAGCTTGAGATCAGATTTTATTTTAATTAGTGATGGAGTATCAACCTCAGAGAAATGGTCGGATGAGTCTAGCGGCGACTTCAATGAAGATGATAAATGGGATGGCAATTGGCAATTATCAGAAGAGGACGAGGAAGTGCAGCAACTCCCGGAGATGGCAGAAATAGCGCCGGTGGAGTCAGAACGGTCATTGAATTTGAGTATGGAGGAAGTAAAGATCTCTGAGAAGATCTGTGTGCATGAGGGTTCATTAAATGCAGCATGCCAAAATTCAAATTCATTGGCTGCGGATGAGGAACTCGAGGTGAATGACTCAGGGGCTGCATTGGAAAATACTCTGAAGAGCTCAGAAGACAAAAGGAGTGGAAGCCGGCATCTAAACAATGGAGATCCTAATCCATATTGCCACCCAAATTCAAGTCAAGGCCCAAGTCAAAAGACCTTTGCTTTGGGCCAAAGCTCACTGATCCAAGTTGGGGCTAAGCCCAAAGGTGATGACAAGGGGGACAATGAAAAAGCAGAACTTATTGATAAAAAAAGAAACAAAAAGGTAGAGTCGGCAACTCAATCTAAATATGCAGTGAAACTAAGCAAGGGGGTGTCTCCGAGTCGAAATCTTGGAGAAGAAAAAGGGATCCCGGATGAGTCACCAAGATCCCAAGAGGAAGAGGATCGGCAAACTCAACCTTTTTGGGAAGGGCTAGCGAGTGAGGACGAGATTTTGCAGTCAAGAGCAGAGAGGTTAGCAAGAGATAAAAAGAGGAAAAAACAAATGGAAAGAAGAATGAGGAAGTGGATTGAGGTCAGATGGCAAAAGAGAAAGGAGAGTAAGAAGCAGATCTTGAGTAAGGACGCAGATAACAGGAGGGGAGATGCACCAATTGTTCAGACGGAGCCCCCGACACAGAGACCGGAGTTGAAGAATAGCTGCTGGAGAGAAGTAGAGGAGATATGGTCTCTAGGCAAACAATTGGGCTTAGTCGACAAGAAAAACGCAGAAGAAATCATCCTAAGACTAAAGGAGATGGAGGAAAGAGATCGCGCAGCACTTGCTACCCAAAAAGCAACAGCGAAGGTCAACAGAAGGGAAGCTTACCCAAATTGCACATGAAGATTTTATCCATCAACGCCAAGGGTATGGGGGACAGCAAGAAGAGAAGAGGATTGCGCGATTTAATTAGGAGAGAGGGAGCAGATATTGTATTCATCCAAGAATCGAAGATGGAGGTATGTGACGACAGGAAATGCAAGTATGTATGGGGTGGGGACAACTGTAGGTGGGTAATGAAAGCTGCTCACGGGAAATCTGGAGGTATTTTATGCTTGTGGAACTCTAATTTATTTGAATTGAGCAAAGATCTTGTGGGAAGTGGATTCTGTGGCATGTACGGCTTCTGGGGAGTAGATAAATTGCCTTGTTACTTTCTGAATGTTTATGCTCCTTGTGATAGTCTGGGTAAACAGTTGCTATGGAAAGAGATTTTAGATCTAACGGAGGTGAGTGATGGTGGTAATTGGTGCATAGGAGGTGATTTTAATGCAATCCGTAGTAGAGAAGAGAAAAGGGGAAGACACTTTAACAACACTGCCATGAGAGACTTTAATAGTTTTATTGATGAAGCAGGTCTAGAAGACTTGCCGATGACGGGAAAGAAATTCACATGGTTCAAGACTGATGGATCAGCAATGAGCAGGCTAGATAGATTTTTGGTGTCTACAGGGTTTCTCATAAACTTTCCTGATCTAATTCAAAAAGGTTTATGCAGAGATTTTTCAGATCACTGCCCAGTAATGTTAATTAGTTCAAGCAAGGATTGGGGGCCAAAGCCTTTTAGAAGCTTAGACTGCTAGTTTGAAATTAAAGAGTTTAGCTCCTTTGTACAGGAGAAATGGAACAGTTATAATGTGGAGGGCTAGAAAGGGTTCAAATTGAAGGAGAAATTTAAGTTGCTAAAAAATGACTTAAAAGAATGGAACAGGGAGGTGTTTGGGCACATTGACAGGAACTTAGAGAAGATAAGATGCGAGATTAAGAATTTAGATGACAAAGCTGAGAATGGAGAATTATCAGAAACTGAAATTGAACAGAGGAGATCTTACTTTCAGCAAGTTTGGGAGTGGAACTCGAGAAAGGATAGCCTACTATGTCAGAAATCAAGGCAGAAATGGCTTCAGGAAGGTGATGCCAACAGCAAGTATTTCCATGGGTGCATTGTTAAGAGAAGAAGAAGAAATGGGATAGAAGGAGTTGTGAAGAATGAGGCTTGGGTTGAGGAAGTTCCAGAGGTGAAAAAAGTTATAAAAGAATTCTTTGAACTCAAGTTCCAAGAGCAAGAATGGGATAGACCTAGCTTAGAGTTAAATCAGTTAAAGCAACTAAGCCCAGAGGATAACAGCTGGCTGACGGCAGAATTCTCAAAAGAAGAAGTAAAGGCAGCGGTATGGAATTGCAATGGGAGTAAAAGCCCCGGACCAGATGGTTTCAACTTCAACTTCATTAAAAAAATGTGGCCAACCATAAAGCAAGATATTGTAGACTTTGTGAAAAAATTTTGGGCGAATGGGAGATTGGTGAAAGGAAGCAATTCATCTTTCATTGTCTTAATCCCAAAGAAAGAATCCCCCCAAGGCTTAGGGGATTACAGGCCTATATCCCTAGTCGGTTGCCTGTATAAAATTATCTCTAAGCTTCTCGCTAACAGATTAAGGAAGGTGATGCCAACGATCATCAGCCAAAACCAGTCAGCATTTGTTGGAAAGAGATTCATAGCAGATGGTATTGTCATTGCTAATGAGATTATCCATGAAGCTAAGAAGAGAAGGAGGCCCACACTGATATTCAAAGCTGATTTTGAAAAAGCCTACGATAGTGTCAACTGGAAGTTCCTAGAGTTGATGATGGAAAAATTCGGATTTTGTCTGAAGTGGAGAAAGTGGATCAAGGAATGCCTATCTACTTCATCTGTTTCTGTTTTGGTGAATGGTAGTCCTACAGCGGAATTCAGCATGGAAAAAGGACTGCGACAAGGTGATCCCTTAGCCCCATTCTTATTCCTTTTAGTCGCTGAAGCACTAAACGAGCTGATTTACAAAGCAAAGGAGTTAAATTTGTACAAAGGAGTGGAGATGGGAGAGGAACGTCTGGAAGTCACACACCTCCAATTTGCTGATGACTCTATATTCTTCTGTGATGCTTCTGACTTGAATATAAAAGCAATCAAAGGGATTCTCCGAACCTTTGAGCTTGTTTCGGGTCTCAAAGTGAATTTTTTCAAAAGTGCTTTGTATGGAATCAATGTAAAGGCTGAAGATATAAGTAAATGGGCAGAATCTCTAAACTGTATGGTGGGTGATATTCCTTTCAAATATCTCGGGGTACCAGTTGGAGCTAATCCAAGGAAGTTTTCAACCTGGGCACCTATTATTGACTGCTTGAGACTCAAATTGTCAGGTTGGAAATGCGAATCGCTGTCATTTGGTGGAAGAATTGTTCTTCTGAATGTTGTCCTATCAAGCATCCCAGTCTACTTCTTTGCAATCATGAGAGCCCCCATAAAGGATCTTGAGAAGCTGTTGAAAGAATGCAAACTAATGAAAGGAAAGCAAGACTTCTGGAGTTGGAAGCATGATTCGAAAGGAAACTACTCAACAAAATCTGCCTACTCCCTTTTAAATAACAGCATTGAGGAGCCAGGATCAATTCAATTCAACAAGATTTGAAATTCTAAGGTGCCACTTAAAGTTTCAGCTTTTGTGTGGAAACTCTTACAAGATAGAATTCCTACAGGTGAAAATTTGCTAAAAAAAGGTATGGCTGGAGGTGAACTGGATTTTGCATGCATTTTCTGTGGAAAACATATTGAATCAACAAGTCACTTATTCTTCACCTGTGAGGTCACTTGGGCGGTCTGGCAAGCATTCTATGCATGGTGGGGACAACAAGGTGTTCTTACATGTGAAGCTTGGAAGCATCTGCAGCAACATACAGGCATGATACAGAATGGAAAATTAAAAGAAGCTTGGTATGTGTCTTGGTTCACGGTCATTTGGTCCATCTGGCTATGGAGAAACTAGTTGATCTTCAAGGAAGGCAAGGACACTCCTGACACAGTGATGGAATTAATCAAGGTACGCTCTCTGCACTGGATCAAGGCCAAGTCTAATTCTGAATTGGCTAAAGAACAATGGTGGAAGAATCCTAAGGATGCGTTAATATGTTTATAGGATTAGCAGGTGATTAAGTAATGGATTGTTTTGATTTTGTAATTCGAGATATTTGCAGGATGATGTAAAGGGTTGGAGTACCCCTTGTACTCTATTTATAATTTAACAAATTTTCATTTTGCTGATAAAAAAAAAAAAAAGTGCTAAGAACGTCGTTAGAAAACAAATTAACATTAACCGAGAGATTGCTTAATGTCGGTGACTGGGACAGCCTTTACTTGCTTGGTAAGTGAAGTTAATTACCCACGGCTGA